GACTGTCTTTTGGTTTTTTTTTTAGATGGTAATGGGGTGGTTTTCTTAACAGCTCTTACAATGTTCTTGTCATCAACCTCTGTGGCCTGGTCATCACAAATTTCTTGCACCTTCAGCTTCAAAATATTCCGTACTGTTGTTCTGGGAATGCCCAGTTGTCCATGCAATGATATTTGCATCAGTCTCATGTTTAAAACTCCTTGCTTTACATCGTCGCCAACACTCTAGTTTTCATCGTGTTTTGTACTTTTTACTTCAAAAAGTTTCAAAACCCCTAATGCAAACTCCAGTTACTACAACCCTGCACATTCACAGCTCTTTTATGTGTTTACTAAGGGAACATGGAACACCTGAAAAATCATAATAACTAGTCATTCATTTGTCCCAGTACTTATGCTCAGACATTGGTGGAGTTTACAACAGATAACCAAAACAGCATGACTTATGTTGTTTGTAAAACTTTGCCCAGAAATAAAAGCTGACATTCTGTGCTTAAGTCTTACATTCTAAACTCAGTTTATGAATGCAAATTTTACAACCATGTCATTTCATCTCACTGTCCCAGTATTTTTGCTTCTCATTGCAACATATCACTGAGTTAAGCTCTAATCATAGAAACAGATACATAATGAGGGCTTACAGCTATGAGTAACATTCAGTTTCTCAGTCACCACCTTTAACTTTCCACCAAAACGCCACCTGAAATGTCATCTGTTTACATTATATATAAGATTTCTGGTTATATATATTACTGCTCTACTACTGTTGCTATGTTGTTTTGCCCACTTTGACAAGTGCTCCTTTTCTATCAAGCAATCAAAAAGAAAGTATGTATCTACTTTTCTGCTCTCTACATCATTATGCTGTAGGCCCATTAATGACGCACAATAAGCAGCGGAATTAGCATTGCCTTTTGAGAGCTGGATGCAAAGAGGAACTTAAATCTCCAGTTTATGAGAAGGAGTAAGCCTCCGAATCTCATTATCATTTATTTTTTATTATGGAACAGAAAAAAAAGAATCTCAACCGTGTCATGATTGCTTTCTCCATGAATAGCATTAACGCAAGATTCAATCCCTGTTAACAACTGTTTGATTTCAATTTAGCATTGTAATTATCTCTTTGTGAAGCAGCGATATTCAAGATGTCTTAAAAGGCTGTAATGAAGCTGTTTGGAATCAAATTTTCAAGCTTATTCAAGTTTGCCTTTGAGCAGTGCTTCTACAGCTTTGAAAAAGATGTAATGTGTGTGTCCTAGGCTATATTTAGATAAAAATCCATCAGTCCTTCTATGGAATAATGGTGCTGGATCTTCCATGGCCAAGATGACCTACGGGCTAAGTTTGGCCTGCCAGATGGCATGTCTTGGTCCTTTGTGATGTTTGGGAGTCCAGTTCTAGACTATTAACTATAACTCATTACTCGATATTAATTATAATGTATTTTAATGTTTTCACTGTTAAACAGGAATAATGTAAGTGGGATTATGGAAGTGACAAATTCCCTGATTCTCCACTATGAGCTGCCTTTCCAAAAGTAATGTGCCATTGTGTATGGCCAAGCAATGGCCATTGCTAGCTCAGATTAATGGAAGTAATAACTGCCTTTTACACAGATAGTCTGATTAGATTACATTAGCTTCTGAATGTTCTCAGTAGTTCAAAGTCAAACTTGACCCACTGACATTCAATTTATTCATGCAGTTGTTCCACAAATTATTTTCCCTTAGTATCGCACGGGAGCATGCTCAAGTCAATCAATATTTGTTGTTCATGTTTGTACATGGCAAGATGTGGTAGGAAAAGAAATTAATATTGAATGTATGTGCTATTTTACTGCATCTTTAGGTGTTTCTGACATTCAGAGAAAAATGAGGAGAGAGCTAATGGATTCTCTGGATGACTTCCATCATTGCTGAACTGCCTCTTATACACATAACATTTATACTGTCCTCCAAGGGGAAGAGAGAAAGTCCTCAGGGATTACTGGAGAGTTTGTCCAGTTAGTTTCATATGCTTCCATTAATTTTATTTATCAGAATATGAGTGGTGCTATAGGCTCTTCTTCACATTCTTTAAATGTTTACATTGTCTTCTTCAGAAAGTGGGGAAAAGGGTTATCATCAGCAAAGGAAGTATTTGCGAATTTGGCCAGTTAGTGGAGTTCCATATGCACACAGCTGTGTTAGAAGGGCTAAACAATGCAAGAAATATGCTAGTTGTCTCGCAATTTAGAGATTACTATCTACTGCGTACATACTGTCAAGAACTGTATCCTCATGTTTTGTTATTGCTCCATAGTGTGTGGTTATATGTTCTTGTAGTTGTTGCAGAAAGCTTCAAGGCCTCCAGTCAGTGGTAGATGTCAAAATAAACTGGCTTGAAAAAATAGTGTCCTTGTGCCAAATGGCTTAAACAACACTCGCTTCAATAAGATCACATGGTTTGGTGTCTAGAGTCCCTTTTGGGATTCAGTCTACAGCCCACCTGTATATACGCCTGTTCACATTTATAAACTAATCCTGACCAGATGACATTTTTTAACAGCATGTAAATCCCAGCTTTCTCATTCAAGATGAATGGCATTCCATTGAGGCACATCCCTGCCTAGTGTTGTCCAAGTCTTATCAGAATAAGAGACCACAATTATTCACGCACCTGCATTGTAGGGTTGAACGAATGATATTTTATTTCATTTTTTTAATCATCACCATATGAGTCCCACAATAACAGAATGACCAGAATCTTTTTGTAGACTATATCCAAGTGGCTTCCTTTTGGGGCAAAGTATCCCCATCTAGTTTGGAAAAAACCCAAATGTACTCAGATTTGTCTTTCAATTTTAGTTCATTTATAGTATTATGAACTGCTGATAACATATACTTATGTCAGTCTTTATTATATGTTATTTTACAAAAGTAATGCCTAATTGGGTGTCTGGTAGTTTTAACAATTAGCATTAAACCCAGGGGAAACAAATCAGTGAAATAGAGTCCAATGCAAAAGTCAGATGCAACCCTTTGATTAATTTTCAATCAAAATGGCAATCAAGTTATATGAGAAACAGTAAATTAAACTAAAGCTTTGAACACTAAATATGATACTAGATCTATCAGCAATTAATTTGACCACTCTGTACTTTTGTGTACTTTACTGCTACTTTAACTCCACTTCCAATCTTAAAACCATCACGTTACAGCTGTGTCCTCCCAAAAAAGCTATTCCCAAATCTCTCACCGACACAATGTTCAGCTTAAAAGAGACACAGCGTTCACATAAGCGACTACTCAAACACTCCTTAGCTTCCTTACAGATATTTTTTCCATGTGCATCTAAACTGGCTGAAGGAGATATTTCTGAGGAGATTGGATACAACTTAATCCACTTGCGTAAGGAAGAGGAAAGTCATTGGAGAATAAGTAGAAAAAAACAGGAGTTTCCAAAACCGGCATTCAAAAAATTATTAAAAGATAGCAAGAAAATGGGGCTTCAAACAACCATGCAAGACATGCTAGACCACCAGCAATTCATCGTTTGGAGAAAGCTCCACGCCTGCTTCATGTCACAGGTGTTTCTGTCCATCCAGGCGACTCTATGTCTCTGAAAGAATGCATAGCTGTCAACAAGTCAGTAAGCAGACCATGTGAAGGACTTTATACATTGAAGTGCATTCTTTTTACTCCAAAAACCTGATTGATCTTTAAATTTGTAAACAACTCATACTAGAGCATCAGTAATGCGTGATGTACGTTACTTATGCATTACCTCTCTTTGCTTAGTACATCACAACTGTAAGATTTTGTTAATAAGTGACGATGCCTACCATTATGGGTAGCTTATATCTTTCTCTAAATCTCTTACTGATATTGATGATGATGTTGATTTTGATGTTGAGTGTTGGTGGTGAAATTGCATCATGCTACAGTGATATACCAAATCACTTTTGGTTTATCATTTAGTATATCAAAATCGGCTATCAGAGGTTTTGAATTACTGTTTGTTTCATGGTTTGTTTGCATCTCTTGTATTGTTTAGTAAGTATGTAAGTGTTTTTGATTTTCAATTTGCCTGAATAACTTGATGAAATGCTCTCATCAGCTCTGACATTTGAATGAAAGTTTAATTGTGATGAAGAAATATGGGCTAAACTTACAATTAGGTTTTTAATTGTAATTTATGTGGAGAAACCAAAAGAAAAATATTATTCTGCCTGCCTAGAATTTTCAGCTCATGTTTGACCATGTGCACACTGGCACTGCCAGCACTTTGCACTGTCTGAGTCATTGCTGTGTCACTGCACCCTTTTTTCCTCCATGCAATTTTCACAATCTCTGCATTATATTGCTGCATCCTATGAGAGATTCAGAGAGAAAGAGAGCGGTTTTAGCTTCTGGCTTTGTAAATTGGGCGTCATTAACTTTCGTGACGTCAGTGCTCCATAGTTTTAGGTGCTTTTAGTTTATTTCTGGGGCTGTTCAGGCAAGGAGAGAAAAACTCACTGATGTAGGTCTGCAGTTCATTTGACTTTGCTTACTTTACGTCTAATGTGAGCACTGACTGCTTTGGTCTGTTTGTGTAATGTGTTATTTGGATACAGGCCCAGTAACAGTGTTAAACCTGTAAACTGTGCTCAAATTTTCTTTCAGTTATGAATACAGTTACAATGAATTAGCAAAAAATTGTAGCTTAAGTTGATGCAGCCAAACAAGGAATTGTTAATTTCTCATTTGGCTGAGAAGAGGTTTACTGGGGCCAAGGAAGTAATCAGAACAGATTATTTGTGGAGAGATTGTGTGATTGTTTTAAATATATGTGAAGCTCTGCTTGAGTCTTGAAGTCCTGCTGATTTCTGGTTTTAGTTGTATTGATTAAGCATTTCAACATACACCATTCATTCTACTTGTCTGTTCTGTTGCCATTTATTCTGGTAATTGTTCAGGTTTTTTTTTTTAAGCAAGATTTGAACTGTGGTCTGTGTTGGTTGTGTGTTTGTTTGTGCAGGAGGCAGGAGGGGAGAGTGTAGGCCCCCATGGACCCCCAGAGGAGAGGAAGGAAAAGGTGCCCAGCCCTCATCTCAGCCAGTTGGTGGTGCTGACTGCCAGCGGGACGCTGTATGGCCTGGCTGAGAGAGTAGTCGCAACCGAGTCACTGTAAGAGGCCCACACTTTTAAATATTTAACCCTCTTTTACCTGCAGATGTGATTTCAGATCGCTGGTTATCGATGCATGTCAAGTTAATCTTTCACAGGCTGTAACTTGCTTCAGCAGAAGCTAACCCTTATAGAGTATGTAGCCAGATGTAGCTGAGCCGCGTTCACAGAGAAGTACTGTTCATCAGTGTTGAGCGCTGTATAGTCATTGAGACATTTCAACATTTTGAAAGTACCCTTCCGAAATTGTAAAGATCACTAGTATTTCAGGATGCTTTTTTCTTTGAAAGAGATTCAGAGCCAAAGGAGATGAAAGGAGATGAAATCCCTGTTTCATCCTGAAAATGGGTAGCTAAAAAACAGTTGGTACTTTTCCACCCAGAATGATCTCAGTGGCCTATTTACTCTAAGCTTTATTTCCAAAAGACTTGTCTACTACACTGAGCCAAGGCCTGTGTTGTTTGCCAATAGTGAACTGTGACAATTAGAGCTAGGCCTTCATTTTGTTCCATAAATGTCAAACACTGATTGTGTTTGTGTATTATCACTGGGCTAAGGGCAATTTACATTAATAGTAACTTGATTTATTTGCAGCTCATAATTGAGATACTGAAGTATATTTCACTTTGTAGTAGCTTTGCAGTGACTCCTTCAGTAAAGAGTCTTGACACACAGCTGCCACTGTTTTTTATTTCCAACAACTGACTGAAATGCATTGATCAGGCTACCACTTGTACTCACAGTCAGTCAGTGTTTTTTCTCGTAAAATTGGTCCCACTTGTTAAAAAACAAGATGTGAGTGGATGATTCCACCATCAGTAACTATGTTAGTGGTTTGTTGGACATGTCAATCCTTCTGTTCAGCTCTTGAAGTACTATCCAGTGGGAGAGCTCACTTAGCAGTACCTACCACAGGAAGAAAAAAAGTCCTGATTGGATAATTTTCCATTGGACATTTCAAGAGTGTAAGCCCTCTGTTTCTAATAAAAAAAAAACTTAATGATAGTGTATTACTACAATAATTACATAGTTCAAATGCAACATGCATTTCTAAAAATCACAGGCATGTAGTTCTTTATTTCACTGAAATCATCAGGTCTTCTCTGAAGTCCTAGAAGGCCCAGAGGTTTTCCCACTGTTTCTTGCAGAACCAAACTAATGTGCTCCCTGTAGTAAAAAAGAGAAGGTTCTGGGAGGTGCTCAAGGGAAGCCATGCTTTGTGATTTTTATTATCTCCTCTTAAAGCCCCCAGAATGGGAATCAATGCATAGAATCAATGCACAATTGTTTTGTTTATTTATTGTATTTGAAACTAAACCACTGGGGAAGCAAAGACAGATTTTATTGCAGCTTAAATGGCTAAACCACCTTGTTGATTGCCTTGACGCTGAACATAACTCTTCAGTACTAACTTTTCCTCAGACTCTGAGTAAAGTTGCAACCAGCAAGTGACGACAGCAACAATGAACAACCAACATAAACACGTGCACAAACTTACACTTAAGATTAGTCCCAGAATCATTGGTTGGAAACACGTTTAGGTCTTTGCCTCCTGTTTTTGTTTTAAAAATAAAGTAAGCAAATGTTTGTTAATACGTCAGAAATAATAAATAGGTACATAAATAATTTAAATGCACTTTAGTAACCTCCAGTGGCCATGTCTGTCTAAAAGCACCTCGGGCCATGTGGTTCTGCAAAAATGTGGTCGGAGGTACATACATATACCATGAGATCATTTTGGCTAGCTGGCCCTTTTTCTACTGACTGAAACCTCAAGATTTGTTTTAAGAAGGGTAAATCAGATATGAATGAAAATGTAGTTTCCGAGAGAGCCAGCCAGTTTTGTCGTTTTTCTTATAGCAGTTTAGATAAGGATTTCAGTAGAATGGAGAAAAAAAGCCTAAGGCATCTTCTTCTATGAGAACAAAAAGCCAATCCACTCAGTGCTTTTGCCTGTTCGTGTGCCAAGAGGGGAATTGGAGAATGAAAAAAACACAGTTCAGGTATCTGTGCTTATTTGTTGCGAGACAAACAAGTGAAACGTGAGATTATTGGTCAAGTTGCTGCTGTTGTCCTTTAAGCCCTGCATTTTTCTTGATGAGTCAGAAGAGGCTGAATTGGGGGGTCAGCAACAGCCAGCCAAGTTCATTTCATTAAGTGGTGTGATGCTGCAGCCGCTGATGGCTTACCTGCGGTGCCACTAATCCAAATGAGGGGCAGGTTCTGGATGAACTGTCCAATCCATCTCTCTGCATTCTACTGCTTGTATAGTGAGGCACATACAGTGCAGATCTCTCTCTCACTAATTCACACTCACACAAAATCACTGGAGTTGGCTGAGTTGAAAGCTGTCGGAACTCTTTGCCATAGCCCAGAGTCCAAAGATGCGGCTGTCTCATTTGCCAGATGGCACTGAGTGAGTGCCAGCCACAAAGCCTGCGTTCAGAAATCCAAAAGTTTTGTGGGACGACAAGTAAGCTTGTGAATGAGCAGAGGATCAGAGGTTACATAACTTACAAGACACCAGAACATGAGTTTTCTCACACTAGTTCTCTTCCTGTTGGTTTGAAACCCCATTTTGCCCTGCTTTGCCCTGCGCTGGTAGCTGATACTCTAACTCTGTCAAGCGAGTACATGCTCTGAATGTGCCACTCTTAATAATGCCATTACCACAGGACCCATGTCAGAAAGGTTAGCACCACTAGCACTCTCCCCCTGCCTAGTGGAATAATCAATGAAAAGCAGAATTCCGGTTCAGGGATCAAGATTAGAGGTGAGAAAGATAAGGGCAGGAAATGGGCTGCTTGTTACCATCTAAGCACTCTATTTATACCAGCATAACCTGATAAAGTTTAAATTACACTCCTTCACTCCATCCAGTATCTCAGTCAAATAAACAAACCTGATTTCTGGCTCCAGCGCTCACATGATTCTATTTTTGTACAAATCAGAACTGGCATGCAAACAAATGTATTTACAATGGCTTGTTAAAAGGCCTCTTGCTCTATTAAATTCAAGCCAATGTGTTTTTTTAATGCCTTTTTACCTCCTGCGTAAACGCTGGATATTTACCAATAATTTGTTCCATCTGGTCTTGTGATCATTTTCATATTATATTCGTGTCTGAATTTATTTTCTACACATTGCAATTAAATCTCCCCCAGGATATGAATTTTCAGTAGCTCGCAAATATACTAAATTTTATTTCTCAGCATGTTGTTAACAAGCCACACGAGGGGTTTAAAGGGTTTAAAGGAGTCCTCCACTGTCCTCCTAAGCGGTTTATCAGTCTTTAGTACTTAATGCTGCATTTTCCCTACTTGTTGCTGTACAGTACTGAGGAACAGTGAGTCAGTTGTTGTTTTGGTTTTAGTTCTCCTGTTTTGTCCAAAGTGCCCTAAAATTTTTGATCCACTATACTAACAGTCAGTAGTAGTAGACTGATTGAAGGCAGTCACTTATAGGACTGGTGTATGTTTATGCATTGTAGGCTTTATTAGCTTGAAGCCAAAACATAGCGTGCTATGTCAGTCTGTTTGTTATTAGGATTAAGGTTGGAGTTAGAGACTACATATATATGGGACATATATATATAGTGCAGAGGTCACACCGGCAATTTGCAGTTCAGTCTGGACACCCCTGGTCTGCTATGTTCTGTGTATGTCCTCTTTTGTCTTGCCTGAGATGGACCTCTCTAGGTAATAAAGCCATTGCAAGCACTCCTGTTAAGTCTAAAACATGCTCTGAGGTGTTGCTGCCCCTCAGCCAACCACATCTGCATTTGCTGACCTTACACATGGCCACAGGAGGATGGCAGTGTGCTCTGGAAGCTGAAATGTGGAGTGGTCTGATGAATGTCCTTAAAGTCACAGTCATTTCTTTCAGCGACAGAGTGGCAGTACTGCTGCTGAATGCAAATTGCTTTGTGGTTTAAAACTTGTCTGTCTGCTAAATCTGCAGAGGCAAGCTGTTCCAAAAGCGAGTACCTGGATAAAATGTAATTTCTTGTAGTGTTATTTATTTGTGAAGTGCTACAAGAAATTGTACTTGCCCGTTAGTCTTAACCCACAGAACCCCGCCAGGACGTCAGCGACCCCTCTGTGCATGTTTTATTAAAAGCGTTTCAAAAAGTTGATTGTTTGTCATAGTGAAATTTGGTCAAATGCGTTAGATTCTTGAGACTTCAGCAGGAAAGACGAGTGCTAAATGATTTCTGTATAGCCCATGGCTAACTTTCAGTGGGCTCAGCAAAACTAGGCTACATAGGCTCATTGTAATCTCATACATTTTCATTGGTTTTGGGTTTGTTCGGTACTTACTTGCACAAGCTAATGACATCTTTCGTTTTACTTCATCTGTTTCATCGCTTTGGTTCCAGTAACCCATGAGAATGACAAAGCAGTATATCCTCGTTTTCAAGCTTCCTAATCCTGCAGCACACTGCAGAGGGAAGTATGAAGAACAAAGTGCCCTATATATACCTCCCCCAATCCCAAAACCCAAAGACCCCAAAACAGTGCCTATAAAGAACATGCCAATAGATTTACATTGTTAACCGCAAAAAGCATATGTAGCCTGCAGGTTTTTTTTCAGAGCTTTGTAAGACCTTTTGTGTCTCAAGAGATTTCCCTCTTTGACGTGAAAAACAGTAAAACTAAAAAATAGTTTTTTGTTTTTTTTTATTTATATCATAAAAGTGTGTTGTTCTGCATCCCAGAGATTCTATAGACATGCAACACTTGCATAATGCAGTCGGAATTGGATCCACTGTCAGCTTAAATGTAAAGGTTATAAAGTATAAAGTAATGGCTAGATTCTTTTTCACTACTTCTGTTGAACATGAGCAAGTGTAAGCTAACTTTCTGTATACAGTTAGCAGGATATATATGAATTATTAACCAGTGTCCTGGACTGCAGAAGTGGGTGTAAATTATTCTCAGATGTTCCAGCTGTGGCCTGCCAGTGGCATCAGGCATCAGTGTTATAGTTACTGCATCATT